CAGAATCAGAGCCAAGGGGTGAGCTGGGGGGTGACAGAAGGAAGAGACCCAGGGGGAGTAACTGATCTACAGGATAAAGAACTCAGAGAAGGAGGGGAGAAAGGCGAGAGCCATGCTCAAGAGGCTGCTGGAAAGGTGTTGTGAAGGAACTGGGTGTGGAAGGACTCGCTAGGCGCCATAGGGCTGCGTGGGCAACTTGGGAGAGAAAGATAAAAGGAGAAGACACTTCAAACCGTTGCTGCTCCCAGTGAATGAACGCCCTCTTCATCTTTTTGTTTGGGGTGGGGGTCGGTTTGTTTTGTTTTTGTGTAATGGTGAAGCTGCTGGACCGGTTACTAATTGGCCAGCAGGTGTAGATAGGTGACTCACGGGTCCTCTTAGGAGGACACTGTAGGAGATGACATCCTCACCTGGTCCCGAGCACATCTTCACTGTGACTGAGGATCCAAACCTGGGCCCAGGTTGACCTGACCTACACTCTGACCCATGCCTCTTACCAACCCACTAGAAAGTCAGGAGATGGACGGGCATCACTGTGAGCTTGGAATCAGGACATGATGAGGAGATGTGACTTGTGAGGGACACCTGCGGTTCTGACCTACTGTGACACACATTAACTTCCTAGGAAATTAACTTCCCTTAGCTATGGTCTGAATGTTTATGTTCCCCAAAATTCCTATGTGGCGATCCTAGCCCCCAAGGTAACACTAGTAGGAAGCTGTCCTTGGGGAAGTGAAGACAGAGTCCTTGAGAAGGGGTCAAAGTGGCTGAAGAGCTCCCTTAGCCCCTTGAACTGTGCGAGGACACACCAAGAAGGTGTTCTCTGTGACCTGGGAAGCAGGCCCTCCCCAGACATCCAGTCTGCGGGCACCTTGATCTGGAACTTTCCAGCCCCCAGAACTGTGCAAACAAAATTTCTGTTCTTTTTAATCCTCCCAGTTTATGGTATTTTATTACAGCAGCCTAAGAGTGAGACACTTTTCTAGACAGGAAGAAGGTCGATGCTCGGATAAGTCACAGCTGCTGACCTGGCTCTGTCCAGAGGACATGAAATCCCTTAGGAAACTGGCAGCAGGTGCGGGATTTGCTGTCTAGAAGGCCTAAGAACAACTGCGACAGCTCCGGAAATGTGCAGAAATTAAAATGACCGCCGCTGGGGGAAGGGGTTCCACACTGGCATCAATGAAACGACAGCAGTAGAGCAGGTCCCTGAGACAGAGAAATGCCACTACGAAGAGCAGGTCCACAGGAGCTGACCGGGGAGAGCATTCATGCATCCCAAGGTTTGAGGCCCGTCTGTGGAAACGGATGAGTATTAGATACGGGTGTGTCAGAGCACGGCCTCAGTGGTAACTCCCACCATCAAGGGCAAAGTCAAGCCCAAGCCCAATCCCAAAGCCCCACGACTCCCAGGCCCCACGACTCCCAGGCTCCACATCTTTCTATAAGCCACAGCATATCACAGGAGACCAATTTTGCTCTCTGTATGTCTTTGTTCACACTGTAATGTCGAATAAAATCTCAATGTTTAATTTAGCACCAAAACAAAAAAAAAAAACCTAATTCCTGAATATGCTACTTATATTGAGGCAAAGGACAAGAATGCCTGCTCTTGAGAGATGCACAGTGTTTGGGAGTGAGGTGTAAAGATGTTTGCAACTCTCTCTCAAATGGTTCAGCAAAAATAAAAGCAATCTCTCTCTCTCTCTCTCTCTCTCTCTCATATTAAGCAAAATATAATAATTAATAAAACATTTAAAATCTTTGTGAAGGGTTAGAGAATGTCCATTGTACTCTTCTGGCAATTGTTCTATAGATTTGAAATTTTTCAAAACAAAAGCAGGGAAAGGGTCTATATTGATCATGGATCCTATGAATTAAAAATTTTAATTAATATGTGTATTTACTTATAAATTAGGTAAGTATACATCTCCAAATAATGTATTCTACAGAATATCAAATATTTTATAAATTGTGGACATCACATGGATGAAATAAGTATCAATTTTTAAAATAATCTCCCATTAAAATAAAGAGCTCCCCTTCCCGTGCTCCTAGCTCTGTGCTGCAGAGAAAATACACAGCAAAGGGGCAGTGCTGGGGTTGGTGTGTTGAGTTCAGACCCTTGTCTTAAAAGGAGAAGAGACACATTCAGGCTACAGCTCGGAGAGATGAATCAAGTCCCAGGGAGAAGAATGCACTGCCAAGAATTTCTGAAAAATATGAGCCTTTATCACAGGCCCTAGGGCTGCTTGAATCTTGTTTTCAGGAAGCAAAGGCAAGTACCGGCTCTTCGCCAAGCCACCAGGGCAGAGCTAGAAGCCAGTGGTGGTGTCCACCCTGGTCCTCCTGAAGTCAAACCCCAGATTTCCGGGAGCCCAGTAGGACCAGGCCAGCATCTTAATCTTCCTGAGGGAACTTCTCACCAGCTCAGAGTTCAGCAAGGGTCTCTGCCCCTCATTTTCTCCCATCGGGACCGAACTGGCCATAAATAAGATTGATGCGTCACGGAGACTCCGGCAAAGATGGAAGGTGTCCAGGCTGCCCTCCCTGCTCGCTGTAAACTATATTCGCTGCCTCCTCAGGGAAGGAATTGTTAAAATCTGGTGAGCAACTCTCTGGTGTTACAAAGGCCCAGAAAGAAAAGGTGATTCAATTTAAAAGCTGTTGTATTGGCTCCCACAAACCTCCAGCTGTGTGAACGTGGGGTGGGGCAAGGGTGGGGTTCAAGACAGGCATTGCAAACCCACCTGCTCGCAGGCCCTCTGAGTGGGGTGGGAACACAAGGTGAGAGGCTCTCCCACTGACCCGAATAGAGGCTGTGCCCCTTTTGGAAGAGGAACGCAAGGATTCCGCTGGGTAGGAATGCTGCAGAACCAAGGGCAGGCAGTTCTGGCACCCTGCCCCTCCCCCAGCAGCCCAAGCCAGGGAGCCAGACCTGCTGAGCTGTGAGAAGCACCGGGAGCTCAAAGATTCCAAGCAGCATCAGAGCTGATCCAATGGGAGGCTAGAGGAGAAGGTAGGAAGGGCATCCTGGACGGGAGAAGGGCATGAGTGGGAAAGGACCATGGGAGCAGCCTTCGTCACACCAAGAGAGCCAGACAGCATTCTGCATGGGGCTGAAGATCCCTGTGGGTGTTTCCTTGAGAGACTGCAATGAAGATAATCAGGACTTGCCCCTAGGTTTTGGTGGTCTGGCTGCTAAATTTGATCTCAGGTCCCTACTAAGGCACACAGCTCAGACTGATAGCTCAGACTGATAGCTGATTTCTCTCCACCAGAGAGCTGCTTTTTTGCCCAGAATAAAGACCCATTCTCAGACTGACTTCATTTAAATGAAGTGCAGGTACTCAGTTCTGGTCAATGAAGATGTAGGAAATGTTGAGTCACTCTTGAAAAGTAGCAAATAACTGGAAGAAGGCTGGAGTCCCAGCAGCCATCTTGGGCTAACAGGCAGCATTGGGAATGAGAGCTATAGTTAGGGTAGTGAAGTAGAAAGACATAGCAAGTCAGGGTTGCTGGTGACCAGGTAGCTATCCATCTACACATGGAATGTCTACTTCCATGCTTCTGTGTCTCCTATCTCGGCCACTATGGGCTGCTTCAATATATTCAGCTGAAACTAACATAAGTAGCTAATCCATAAATAAATGTTCAAGTCAAATGAAAGCAGAGATAAGCTATAGTGTATGCACAAATACAGTATCTGCAATAGTAAAGCAGGCGGTAGAATAATTGCTCTATCCTTAGGGAAAATAAACCATAGGTTTGCCAAACTCAGAAGAAGATATATCCTGAGTAGCTATACCACACATTCTTGCTGGTGATTTCAGTAAAATAACATCATCTGTCACATTGAATTAACATCACTAATATTTTCAATTCTATTCCGATCCTTTATTTGGATTTCTAAATTGGTTTGGATTTCATAATGCTAAAAAATATAATAAAATTAAAACTTTTTATATAGTTTTGAGTTTGAACATATGTGAGCAACATTCTAATAAAATTATTCTATCTGAAATAGGGAAGTCTGTGAAGACATATTTGTTTTTCAAAAAAGAATCTCTATAATCCTAGATTTGCCTGCCAAATCAAAATTTAATTGTTGATCTGGAAAAGTCTCATATTTTTGGTTTAAAATTACAGAGAAGTTTTAATCTCCAAATTTAGGTATGAAAGTGGGTTGACAGGAGATCTGGCTAAGCAAAGAGTCAAAGTCTTCAGTCATGGTTTTGCCACAGATTTAAGAAATGCATGCCCACCACTGCTCATGGCAGCCTTATTCATAATAACCAAAAGCTGGGAACAATCCAAATGTCCATGAAATGTTTACTAGACCAACAGAATGTGGTACATGCATACAATGGATTATAATTTACCCATAAAAAAATCATTGTGATGGTAAATTTTATGTATCAACTTGGCTAAACCACATTTTTGGTTTATGTACCCACATATTTGGCCCAATGTTATTCTGGATGTTTCTGTGTGGATGTTTTCAAATACTATTAACATTTAATGCGTAGACTGAGTGAAGCACATTGCCTTCCCTAATGTGGGTGGGCTTTCCCAATCGGTTGAAGATATAAATATCACAAAAGACGGACCTCCCCTCCACAAGAGGGAATTCTGCCAGCGGCCGCCAGCCCTTGGATTTAAACTGCATGGCAGCCTTTCCTGGGTCTCTAGCCTGAAACCCCAACCTGCAGATTTTGAACTTATCCGCCTTTGTTATCATGTGAGCCAACTCCTTAAAACAAAACGGATCTCTTTCTCCCTCTTCCCTACCTTGCACACGCACACCGTCACGCACATTCTGTTGGTTCCACTTCTCTGGAGAACCCTGATGAATACAGGAACACTGACACATGCCAGAACATGAGTGGACCTTAAAAACATCAAACTAAGTAAAAGAAGTCAGAGAGAAAGGACCACATACTGTATGATTCCATTTATATCAACTGTCCAGAATATGCAAATCTCTACAGACAGGAAGCAGACCTTCGACTAGCGGTGGTAACGGCACAGACTGTCGACATCGTGAAACCCATCACACTACACTTCAAAAGGGTCCATTTTATGGCAGGTGAGCTATTTCTCTATTTTTAAAAAAATAGAAATGCAATTTCAATTATTACCTTATCTAGACCCTCTATAAATGGTGAAATTGTTCATCTGCTAGATCATGTGCTGAATAATCCTCCTGTCCCCAAAGCTAAGTCCACCTGGAACCTCAGAATGAGACCTTATTTAGGAAGAAGGCCTTCAAAGGTGTAGTTAAGTTAGGGTTCTTGTGATGAGATCAGTGTGGTTTAGGAGGCACCCTGAACCC